CAATGGTTGAACGAGCTATGGAAACCACAACATTGAATGAAAATTCCTTATCAAGCGTTTTTACTTTATCCAATAAGAAATTTATTGTTGATCCACTACAAGAACGCCGAGCATTGGCAGAATCAATGGGTCTCAGACTGATCATTAATGAAAATGATGAACAAGAATAATCTCCTTTCACTCATTGAATTTTTCTTCTGTCGATTTATTTTAATCTCAACGCTTTTTTTTTTTACAAATAAAATTTTCTTCCGTCCAATATTTTAAAAAGATGCATAAGCAATTAGATTGATTTCGATTGGTCAGACATTATCCAATGGAAAATGATAGAGATAATTATTTAGCCAATATTTGTTTTTTCATACGTTCTTGACATCGGAACAATGTGATCTTTTGGTTTTTTTTAGATAGTATTCTTTAAAAATAGATATGTTGGCGGCCAGTGGTCGATGTTTATCTCTTAGTACACTTCCTCGTGCAAATGCATTGGCTATTATTCGCCAAGCATCATCATCACAATCAAATAAAGATAAACAAGAACCAGTTGTTGTTTCATCACCATCTGGCTCAGTTGAAGATCCATCTCGTTCACCTATGAGTCGACGACCTTTACCTCCCGATGATGGCAAAGTCCGTATGTGATCATTATTGAATTTTTATTTGTTTACCTTTAGAATAAAATAATATTTTTTCTTTTTATCTCAAAGGTTTTCCTAATCCATGGGATGTTATTCTTAATAAACGTCGTTTTGAATATGCAATGGTTTGTAACAAAACCATAAATTACTATTACTCGAAAGCAATATTTATGATTTTTAGAAATTCAAAGGATATGATGATCCATTTGATATGATGCCAGTTAAACGTATTACAAATAGTTCATCAGAAAATCCAAATTTACTGCCAAGTTGTAATGATAAACGACTTATGGCTTGTATTTGTAAGTTGAAATTATCATCATGATATATTAGAAAAAGAATCTTTTTTCTTTTTCTACACAAAAAAGGTAATGAAGATGTCTATCACTTGAAATGGATGCATCTTCATCGTGGTGAACCAAAACGATGCTATTGTGGTATGAAATTATTTCTTTATTTATAAATAATATAAGTAGTTGATTTTATTTATAGGTCATTGGTTCAAATTAACGGAACGACAGTTTGTTGATTTAAGTGATTTTGGTATTACTGAAGAAATGCAAAAACCAGCTGCTCATTAAGACTTGTCCTCATTTTTGTTTCTCTTAAACTAGACCATTGTAGCTCTTGTCTCTTTCACTTTTTTAATTTCCATTGGTCTTCTTTTTTTTTCGTCCATCATCATCTAGTTAAAACCAAAGCAAAAGAAAAAAAAAACAAAGAACAAAATAAATAATAATGTTCTTTGTTCGTTCCAGATATGTCTGATTATCAGTTAAGTAATGAAGATCATGAGGCATTGGAAAAATTCACGAAATTTTTCTTAGTTAAAGCAGCACAAATTATTGTACAATCACGTTTAGGTGAAAAGAAAATAACGAAATCTAAACCTGTCTGTTCTGGAAATGAATGGGTAAATTTATAAATGAATGAATGTATTCTTCAAAAATCAAAATCTTTCTTTTGTTTTTTAGTTTCATCTTTCAATTAAAGATATTCCAGAAGTAACTGTCAATGCTAAAAAATGTTTAGCCGATGCTCAACATCTTCTCATCAATCCTCCTCATAGTTCATTTTGCGTTGAGATATCATTACGTACGCCAGATTGTCAAACAATTACATTAGAAACATGGTGTATATCATTTGATGATTCAAATTCAGATCCATCACAACGTGTTCGTTTTAATATTTATAATCGTATGAGTATTGTTCTTCGATCTTTGCTTACTTGTACACGTGCAACACCAACATATCAATTATCACGTAAACAATCAGCTGATAAATATATTATTTGTTATAAAATGTATAGTGAGGAACCAATAGTTAGTCATCTTGGTGAACATTATTCGAAAAAAACAATTGGAAATATTGTAACACCTATTGGACGTTTCGTATTAAATGTTGCTTATCGAACACGTTTAACAATGTCATCAACACCAACCGATAGTGGAACAGTTCCGTATTTCACACAATTTGGTATTGACATTAAAGATGATCATTTTTCATTGTATAAAAATCAGCATAGTCTTGAAGAGTAACATAAAAAGAAAGGTTTAAAATATTATTTATTTTAAAAAAATATTCTAGAGATCATGATGCTCAATTACCATCAATACAAGATTCAAGTGTACCAAAAAGTTCACCTATTGAAGTAATGAAACGAAGACATACAAGTTCTGATTCTGTTTCTTCTAGTCATGGGTAAATTGCATTTGAAACGAAATAATTTTTGAGAATAAATGTTTCATTTGCTTTTTCTTTTTTAAAAGAACACCAGACAAAGTATACTATAGTAAATTACGTGCTGCATTCACAACACCTGGCACCATTGCACATTCATCATCACATATGGGTTCATTTTCTCGTACGAATGATAATGATTTACCATATGTACTTATGATGCAACAACAACAACAACAATTTATGGAACAAGAACAAAATTCTAAAAATAATTTTTATCTCGGTTCTGATTTCGATAATGAAACAGCACCTGATGATTTTATTCTTGTTGAAGTAAAACCATTTTTTGGTAAAAGTGATTCAACAGATGATTTGGCTTTATTTATTCGTTCATGTCAACAACCACCAATGCTTGAATCATTTGTTATTGAACCATCACTTGGTGAAACAATAAATCAATTAACAGAAGAATTACGTGTATTTGAATCTAAAGTTGAAGAATTTGATGAACTTGTAGGTGCATTATCTACAACAGAATAATTTCAATATATTTATTTAAAAGTTTCAAAATACAATTTAACAGTGCTTTCGAACAATTCATCGTCTCTTTTTCTGTACAGCGGAATAAAAAAAAACAATTATTTACATGTAAATAAAATTCTTCTTTTTCTTTGTTTTTGTATGCTGATTCATTTGAACGAGTATTTTTAAAAAAAAGGAACACATGATAGCAATTGGAAATTATTTATTTATTATTCTGGTTTTCTTTTGACTTTTATTAAAAATTGTTATTCAAGCAAGTTTTGTAAACTTGCTCAATTTAATGTTTCTTTTTTTTCTTTCTTTAAAAATAATTATCATTGAATATAAAATTATTCTATATTTATATTGAAAACAATATATAACAGTGTGCAATGGTGAAATGGATAGTTCTGTTGAGTCCTTTGAGTAGTAACATACTTTGTAAAGTATGGCTTATTTTTTCACTCACTTAATTTTTGAATAACTTGCGAACATACAACGATATCGGGATAAAAAGATACAGCTTTGTTTGCTGATATCAAATATCTCATTAGTTTTCTTCGCAAATATATGAGCAATGAATAAGATGTAAAATAAACGAAATAACTTGATGTTAGGATGAATGTGAAATCTTCTTGATAATATTTTACTTATGGATATGTTTCCGTTAAATTTTCATTAGTATATTTTTACAGGATTATAACAAACATTACCTTTAAAAAAATGGTAGAATGGACGATATTTGTCTCTTTATGTATATTTCAATAGTGTGTTTGTTCTTATCTTCAAAGAATTTCTTGAAACATACACTAATTAAAACTGTCATACTTTGTGTTAATAATATAAAAGCATTTTAGACTATCTGATGCGATTTCCTAGTAAAAACAATATTCTTTCGCTGAGTTATGAACTTTTTTGGAAGAGAATCTCAAACTTCAAAAGTAACTTACGATTGTAAAATAACTGTGATTCAGTAATTATCCAGAGCTAACAAATCAAATTTTTATCGTAGATAGCAATAGAATAGGTCGCCTTTCGGCTACTTTGCACTATACGATGATTCCTAAAGACAGTTTCATTTGATAGATATTCTTCTTCTTCCGACGACTAGTATTAGCTGTAGCTCTGAACAAAAGCTCGGTCAGACATAGAATTCTACCGCTCAATTACTAAAATTCCTTGATCACAATGACTAACCACGTATTAGGCAAGAGAGCCGATATGGGTCATAACATAGTCTGAGATAAACAGTCATTAATGGCTTGCCTAAGATTGTTTCATGGTTCGTGGCACTGAAGCTCAAATACGGTACCTTGCAGCATGTGCGAAACAGCTTCACCACAAAATTATAGCGACATTATTGTACAAAAAAGAGAGTCAGAAGTAGATTTAGGTTAAAATTTAAAGTTTTCATGTTTCTTATGCCAGAAGTTATTATTATATTATTACTTAAGAAATGAAATGCCGATAAGTTACGAACTTACAAAAAGCAGGCTTAAGTTTATTGGATGATCAGCATTTATTAATAACAATAATCACACAAATTTAGAAATTCTCTCACTATTATGGTCGAGCAATGGTACTCAAAGTGTTAAGTTGTCAACAAGAAGAAGAAATAAAATAATGATAAAAATGTTCAAAGAATTGTAAATTATGACTCGTGTCGAACGTTTTCTCGCATTGCCACCGGTATATCGGCATTAAATTGTTGGTCGGAAAGCAACTATCGGTATATTGCAGTAGAATGATAATCAGAAGATAGTAAAACGTTCATTCGAATTAAATGGATACTTTAAGATAAATGCAGCCTTCAGAATTTACTTTCTTTGAATAAACTTCGATATTCATTTTTCTATCGAATGGAATAGATTAGGATGACAACTGACTCTTTGTATTTCTAATTTAGTTAAAATGTGCTCTATACAATGAAACGATAAAATTCAATCGTTTTAATAAATCCCAATAAAATTTCAACGATCAAACGCAAACAATCAAGTAAATATAGCAAAAGCATCAAACAAGTTTTTCATTAGATACATATATATACATAAAATACTAAATTAATTTTCCAAATGACAAGACAATTATTTATTGATACATGACATGTATGTTTTTTAAAGACAAACAGAAAAAGAAATTGAAATCATATACAAGAAAAATTCATCCATTTCGTTTTAGAATTGGTTCACGTACAAAGAAAATAATTGATGCAGCAATCATACTAATGAGATAAAATATAAAACAAATTCGATCAACAATAATAGCTAAAATTTTCCATTCTTCATATATATCATGTAAAGCTTGTGTATGAATATTTTGTTTTTTTGCATGTATTGTTAAAAGTAATCGTTGACATTCAAGAATTTCATGTAAAATAGACATTTTTAAATTTTCATCATCAATTTTACTTGGATCAAATTGTGTTTGCATTTTAAGTAATATTTGTTCAATATTAAATGTTACAGAATGTTGTTGAAGTGTTGTATGTGTTAATTCTTCATTAGGATCATCCATTGCTGTTGATGTTGTTGGTTTTATAACAGCTAATTTTAATTTAGTATCATTTGAATTACGACTAACAACATCACCATTTGTATTTTCTTGATGAGTTATAGATTTTGTTGAAGAAAATAAGTGTTCACGATTAATATAATAAAAACCAAGCCAAGGACCAATTTTATCCATGACTATATGACGACACCAATGAGGCACACGAGATTTTTTAGGTCCACGATAATGAAAATTAAGAACAACAACAGTAAGAACAACAGAAATAAGTACTAATATAAGATTAACATTAAAATAAATACCTAGAAAGAATTAAAATCTTCATTTTTTTAATGAGAACAAATTAAATGCTCAATATTATATACGATTTATTAGTAAAAAAACTCAAATTGTCAGTAAAAAATATAATGTTCCGTAACGATTATGTTTGCTCAGTAAATTATTAACTTGTGAATGTGGGATACAAGCGTAGATTGCAAGAAGACCGACAACGATATCCACATCACAATGGGAAAAACCGAGTCTTTTTTGAATTAATTAATGAGCTTTTCAAACTATGTATTGTGGTAAAACTAAATTTTTGCTTACGAGGAAATCTCATTCAATTGATCATCTCCATTGGAGCTCACAGATAGGACTCATAGTGGACATGAAAATCCTGCAATGGTTCATGTCATTAGATCTTTCTTCTCGAGTTATGACTATTTTACTGAACCTTGCGTCTCTTGCAGGACATAACAAAGAAAATCATAACAAGAAGTTTCGTTCTGAAATCGTTGTCAACAATAGCTCTCATATTCTTGATGGTATGCTGAAGGTTTCACTTCAAGCGGGTCTTTCCCGTCTGAGATAACACGTTTGAGAGAAAACCTTAGTTTCACACAAGAGCTTTAACGGTAGCCCAGTTTTCAGGCATATGATATCTTAAGAAGAAATCATGCGTTTGAGCTGAAAGTTTCAACATGTCATAGGAACTATGAAAGTTATTGTTTGGGAGAATTTCAGGACGAAATCTCTTGTTACAATTTTTCTCGTAATATCTTGCAATGAGCTGAAAGTTCAGTAAAATGATCATAACTCGAGAAGAAAAGTCTAATGGTATGAATCCTTTTCAGGATTTTCATCTACACTATCAGTTTTACCTATGAGCAAAATATGAGCTCAAATGGAGATTATGAGTTGGATGGATTCGCTTGTAAGCAAAAACTACTGAGCGTGTGATTAAAAAAAGTATACTGAACATTTATTATAAAATACTAAGCAAATAAATACAAGTCGTTTGTGATCATTAAATATCTTTACTTACCAATAATAGGAAGATTAGAAGAAGCTTTCGGTGTATAATTTGATATAAGTTGTAGAAAAACTGTTAATGCAAGAAGAATAGTTATTGTTAATGTTATTTTTTCACCTGAATCAGGTGGAAGCCAAAAAACAAATAATGTTAAACAAGATAATATTGAAAATGGAAATATCATATGATTAACATAAAATTGATAATTACGTTTCATATTTATATGAAATACAAGCCATAAATAACGTTTCATTGTAGCATTTCGTACAACTATTTCATAAACTTGCCATTCAGTACGAATATATTGATTTTGTTGACGTAAATTTTGTGGTTGATGACGAACTAATAATTCATTTGATGGACGTGACCATGATTGAATCTCAAGTGTACAATTTTGCTTATCTAATAAGAAAACAGAATACAAATTTAGATTAATAAAAACTTAAGATGTTATTTTTTTGTTTGTTTGTACCAAATGGAAAATAAGTAATAACAACATCACAATACGATCGAAATACATCAGGAAAAACCCATTCAACTGTTCCATTCCAATGAACCGTTAATAAATAATGTTCACGCTGTTGGGAATAAGCAACCTCAGCTGAATTAAATAAAACAATATCGGGTGTCCATATTTCACTAGCAGAAAAAACTGTACGATTTTGATCCTTATATTCACTTGGTAACCAATGTAAGTGCTCATCTTGCCATTTTAATGTTACTTGAACATTAGTTGTCATTACTTGATTTTGTTCATCCTAAAGCAAAATACATAATTAAATCTATTTGTAAGAAATAATGTACTTACTAAACTCATAACTTGAATAATAGTTAAACCAACATCAACTATAGTTACGGTTGTTGTATTTATTACTGGTCGAGCTTCGGAAACATAACGTTCAAGTAAAGTTGCACGTAAACGAGATTCATCTGCATTGAATTGTTGTTCTAAATGGAAAGATAAAATTTAATTCGAAAGAATTTTTCATTTTTATAATTGACTAGTTTAGAAATGATTATAATAAAGTATGTTGTTTAGTAAGTCGTTCTAACGAAGATTCATGAAGAGTCACTTCACATTTTCTTTCTCAAGATTCAATGTGTTACGGTCTATTTTCGTATTGTCATATGCTTTTCAAAAACTTTTATAATTATCGTCGGTATTTGCATCAACTTATATTATTATACATATAATGATATGTTTACAAATAAAAAAAAAAAACAATCTTGTCATCTCAATCACTTTGATGCTAAAATGTGGAACTCTTATATATTATTTAACCTCATTATACTAATACAAAATATATAAAGTAAAAATCTCTAAAAAAAAACCTATCGTTGTTTTCCAAGGATAATCGATCGAGAGAAAAACGGTGTGCCTGATTTACTTTTGCATTTTCGAAAAGCATTTTTTTTTCTTTTCCTTATTGCTATTCGTTCGTGATCTATTATCTTTTGTTATGCATCATTTTTCTTAATTTAATATTATTGTTATTATTCTAATAATTGATTTAACTTGCAAATATGCATGTTGTACATGTCTTTTATATCTATACTATATCTCAACGCACTATTATGCATCTCGATAAACTCAGAAACATTAATATTGATTATTCTGCAAATTTATGACTGGATCAGTTCATGTTATCTATGCTGATCATACAATGACTGTCGCAAAAAAATACATCATTACTCATCGTCCTTGACATCTATCGTATAATTGCTAATCTGCGCAAAAATCAGAAACTGCGTTATTTATAACATTTATAAACGTATTCCAGTTATTTAAATTTCAAAAAAGGCTTTGAGATGTTCTAGAACCGTCTAAGACTTGTTGTCAAATGCTGTTTAGTGATCTTTTCCGTTTAAGAACCTATAGAAAAAAAAATTTGGTGTATGTTGTTCTCGGTTGGTAGAGAAAACATGTTCATTGATCTCTAAGCATTCGCTTCCGATTGCTAAGCCGAAAAGCTTTGACTTAGAAACATACACTCACTATTTTCCTTCGAAAAATATCTGTGACTTGCACAGAACAGGCGACAATTGAATTATTACACCGAAAAGTTCTTTGATAATACAATAAGATTCATTCAATAAAAAATTCATACGTTAAACTTACGTCTATCATCTATGTCTAGATCATCGTCATGTCCAATTTTTTTAGTTCGTCCGATTCCATCTTTGGTTTTCTCGAGTTTTGGACTTTTAAATTTCATGGAACTACTAGCTAAAGCCGATGAGCCTGATGATAAACGAGCGTAAGAATAGAATGTATAATGTACAAGAATTAGTAATAATTGAAATGAAAAATTGAAATGCATTGTTTTTCAAACGATAAATTTCATATAGTGTCACAATTCCATTTCTATGATGTTCAATAAGTGTTAATCCATTGATGTTCTCTATGAATTATTGTAGTTATATCGTCGATCGTTCATATTTTCTTGTATTGAACTAGATATAGAAAGAAAACCGTTCCTGAAATCTATCAATGATTGTAGAATGCATGAACGATTCGAGTTCATGCAGAAAAAAACAAATAGATAGATAGAGATGGAAAGAGAGAGAGAGAGAGAGAGAAAAGTTAATTTAGTCCTCGACACTCAATTTCTCTACTTGTTGTTGTGTCTTCGCTCTCGATTCCTAGTACTATATCATGAGTGTGACAAAAAAGAAAATGATGGTAATCATGATGATGACAGTGACAACAGCAAAGAAAAAAGAAAAAAAAATTCTGTTTAGCTGAAATCTAAGACCAAGATAGAGAACAAAATCAGAAAAGAAATAGAACAGAACATATCGAGTTAGCGAACGTTTTCGATTACTTGATGTGATAAATACGAAAGAGACATTTATATTTAAAGAGGGAGAAAAGGACAAATCATTTATATAAGTATATAAACATCTGTTCTTTGATGACCTCGCACTAGTTTCAATCATTTGCAAAGATTTTACTTCGAAAAAAAAAATAATAATTTTTTTTGTTTTTATTAATGTTAGAAGAGCTTTATTAAATGTTGGTTGACCAATTCGATCGTTGACTGAATTATTAATATTATTTGTCATAGTGAATTAATTCATTTTATATATGAATTACATGATTTTTTTATTGTGCAAAGAAAAAAAAATGAGCAAACAATCAGCGCTTTAAAATCCAATGAAAATAAATTATTTGCTAAGGAATTTATGAATGAATTATTAAAAAAACAGTCAATTTAACTATTTGTCACTTCAGATAATATACATAATTAACAATGAAGATGTCTGTTTCTTTTTATTACTTTCATTTTCTCTGAAAAATGTTCAAAAACAAAAAAAAAAAGCAAGTTGACAAAACACAGCAAATATAGCTAGAACAAAACAACAAAAACGAAACAAAACAGCCAGAAATTCTCTATAAACAGAATTCACGTAGATCGTTCTACCGATGTTTCTTCCTTTTGAGTTTCTGAAGATTGTTGTTGTTCAGTATGATTTGTTGATGGATCATGAATAATAAGTGTCGTTTCCATTTGATTACTATTATTTTCAATAGTTGAATTCATTGGTACTTTAGATTCAAGTTTAGCAAGAACTGTTTGTACATTGCGTACCATTTCTTTACGTTTTTCTTTTATATCAACACTAACATCAATTAATTCATCACAACGTATCATCATTTTTAATGCTTGTTCATCAAGTTCTTTATATATACGATCATCACGTGTTAAACCAGTAAATGCATCAACTTGTTGATTTAAATCAGCTAAATTTTGTTTAATTTGTTCAAGTTTTTCTAAAGCAATTGTATTGGAATCACGTAGAGGAGTTGAAGAAATATTTATTGATACAGGTGTATCATTAGATGGCACCTGTTGATCATTCGATGGCGATGATGATGATGTTGTTGTATTAGTTTGTCCTGCCATTTGACTAGTGGCATCTTTCGTTACTTTAAAATCGGACTCTTGTGGTTGTTGGGATGTTGCTGATGGTGGTGAAGGGCGAGTTGGTGATTCATCGCGTTGAGAAGCTGGCGAACGAGAACGATCATGTGCTGTATAAAGAAAAAAACATAGATAAGAAAATTAGTTGATATAAATTTTGAATTAGAGTCTTTTTTTTTTAGTTTTTAAATTTAATCAAACCTTTTCTTTTTCTTGAAGTACTATTTGATAAACCCATTTCTTTTGACTGTTGATTTTTTTTTGTAAACATTTATGTATATTTAACAGTCATATTTTGTGAGTTTCTGCCTCGAAAATGGAGCACTGTTAGATGCAAATGTTCTTTCATTAGTCGTTTTCTTGTTTTTTTCTTTTCTTGCCGTTCTGTCTCTCGTTCTCTTTCTCTCATTCTTTTCTGCTTTTTTTCTGTTCTGGTATATGTCTGACTAATAAAGTAATGACGAACAATTGGAAGACATTTTCTCGTCTACACGTACATAATATATTTTGTAAACATAAGCCCTGGCCTTCTATGTCCAATGTCGATGTCATCTACCTGACCGTGATGATTGACGTTGAGATGTATAATAAGGATAATGTTTGTCTAGATTTTCTACTGAAATTTTCGACGACCAAGGTTGTACTGATGTTGTTTGTTGAGAAAGAACTAAAGTATTTGTTGATGAAGGTTTTTTTGATGAAAAAATTGTATTCTCTTGAAAATTAGAGGAAGAATATCTATTTCTCTGATATTTTGAAAAAAATGGATGATTATTCATTTAAAAGTGAAACTGAATCATATATATATATTTATATGTCTTTAAAGCGCGTATTATAAAATTTACTTACAACTATTAACTGTTCCTTGACATGTATTTGATCGATGATTATTTATTGGTGTATGATATTCAGTTGAATAAACAACATTTGGATTAATAGTAGTTTGAGTAACATAAGTTGGTCGATAATAAGTTTGTTGTTCGGATGGATATTGCTGATGTATTGAAAATTTTTTATTTGCATCCGGATAATCATTCAGTATGTCATATGATCGTCGAAGATGACTTGTATATTTGTTTGGTTTCACAAAATCTGAATCAGATCGAAATCCATTATTATATGCTGATGGATAATGTGAAGTATTATGTGATTGAGTATCTGAATGTATAAAATCGCTCGGTGTTGAAAGAAGATCTTCACTTGAACGACTAATATGTAAAGAATTTGGTTCATATGTTCGTTGTTGAAAATGACGATATTGTGGTTCTTGATGTGTTTGATGAAAAAATCGATCATTGTATGGTTGATTAAATTGAGAATCATTTAATAAACGATCATAAGCAGTAGTTAAATTTTGACGTGGTTGAAAACGACCTTTAGAATATGTATTTATAGATGGTTTTTTCCATGGAGGGGAATTTGAAAAATCACTATAAGGATTATCATGATGAACCGTACGAAGTTGAGGATAATGAGAACTTGAATTAGTTGTATTGGGTACAGAAACTATTTCGACAGGGATTGAGATAAACTTAATAACAAAGAAATAAGTAAAAATAATTATTTTAATCTAATTGAATGCTTACTCCAGCTGGACGACCAAAAGTATTTGCTGAGGACATTACAGTAGATTGATAATTTATGTAGATAGTATTGAAATGTGAGAAAAGATAAGAATCTAAAGTAAGAAGTTGATACTATCTATTGTTTAAAGATGCATACACAATACTAATAGCTAAACAATATATTCTATCGAGCAAACTGATGTGAATACTGTTATTATATAAGGGAGCGATAAAGAGGGAAATATAGGAGCTTGTCGTTCTTTTACTTCTTTTCTATTAACGCCTCTCCGTTTCGTGAGTTTCAAAAATCAGGGTTTTTTCTCTGACACCTTTTATACATTCCAATCGAATGCGTCAACAAATGAAAAATAAACGCCTGGTAGTTGAGTTTGTCAGACGTCTTAAAAAATGGCGTCATGAAGAACAATAAAAAAAACATGAATTTGCGTTTTTTTATCTCATAAAAACATTGACTCATCTCGTATTTCTTCATTTTTTGCGTACGAAGAAAAAAAACTAAACTACCTACGCAAAATATGATGACTGCCTTGTCAGGATAAACTCTAACATTTACAAACATATAATTGAAATTCTTTAAATTCCATTCTTGTAGTTTGTGCTGAAAAATCATGCGACGTAAAACAAAAAAAAAGAGAAAAAAAGAATTACTGTGTGAATCAGTACAAACTCTTTGCATTACTTATGTCATCTTATCAATAATATTGTATACATAATATAAGTGCTCCTTCTTCAAACATAACAGTCGTCTAATACAATAGAATGTTGATGTTCAATATTCTTAACCAGCCATTTCCATTATCTCACTTATTGATGCAGACAGAAAAAAGAATATCCATTAAATCTCTGCAACAAACTTTTACCTTCTGTTGTGTATTTATATGATGTAATACCAAACTCAATATATATATATAAATATATATACATATATACATATATACATCTATATATTTATTCAGCGAAATAATCAGGCTTTTTTCTCTTACACTACTCGAATAGTAATCAATTTTTATTTTTTCTTTGTAGACCCACGTATCCATTATTGAATCTTGCAGGTAAGCTGTTTTTTATCGTCTTTATAAATACAAGGACGAGTATTTTTTTTCTCTCGACCTATATGTTGTTGTTATTCTCGGTTTTTAATTGCAAGTCAAAGTGACACCTGTCCTTATGTTTTCATCATAAATAGCAAATATATAGATTTACCTTCGAACGGATATTCGAGGGTTATACAAAAAAAATATTGACAAACAACACAATGTACATTGGTATGAGGACAAAAATACATTATGGTTTACATAATGTTATTATAAGATGTATAGGCATTCAATTTATTTAGTTTTTTTTTATTTAGGTTTTTTTTCATCTATCAATCAATATTACAACCCCCAAAAAAAAGAAACACAATGCAATATCAATATAATCGACACTTTTTGTTATTCGGTAGATTCTTTTTTCTTTTCATACATTTGCTGAATGGTTTTATCCTCTTGAGAGTATTGGGAGATCAAGAATAAGCATAGAATGCAAAAAAAAAGAAAAAAGAGCAAGAATAAATCTCGTCTGATATATTGCCTAAATACAACAGTGAAAACAAGAAATCGGTAAAAATGTTATAGATAGAAGTGAATAAACTAAACAGGTACACTGTTTTATGGATTTGTTTTTCGTCCTTCAAGTAATGCTTTGACTTCATCAGCTGAAAGTGTTTCGAAATGAAGTAATGCTTCAGCAAGAATTTTAAGATCGTGTGCATGCTGTTTCAATAATGCTTTCGCACGATCATATGATTCCTATTATTAAAGAAAAAAAGTTAAAATAATTTTGATTATAAAAAAAAAAGAATAAATCTTTTACCTGCATGAGACGTTTTATTTCTAAATCAATCAATTCTTGCATTGTTGGACTTATATCATTAACACGAACAAAACCTAAACCAGCATCTTGTTCTTCTTCTCGAAATGATCTTGTACCAACTTTCTCTGACATACCAAATTGTTTAACCTATTTTAGCAGAAAAAGAAACAAATCATATCTTACAAGCTTGTCATCACAGTCCTTTCCGGACTGAAATATGCAACTCACATGTCTTCTTTAGCTTCATTATACTAATACAAATATGTTAAGCGAAAAATCTCTAACAGACTATAGTTGTTCTCCAAGGATAATCGATTGTCAAAGAAATGATCTATCTTATTTATTTCTGCATTTCGAACAGAAATTTTTGCTTTTTTTTAAATACTGGCGTTCTAGTTTTTGATGGACTCGTTGCTATTGACTTGTTGTTTTTCATGTATTCGTATTCTGTTTTTCTTAAGTTAAGAATATTATTATTCTAATCATTGATATAACTGACATATAAGTCTATTGTACGTGTCCATTATATCTACAGCATGTCTCAATGCACTATTATATATCTCGATAAGATCAGAAATACTGATATTGATTATATCCCAGAGTTATAACTTGATAAGTTCACGTTTTTTATGTTGATCATATGACGGCTGTGACAAATCAATACATCATTACCCCATCATTCTTGGCATCTTGAATATAATTGTTTATCTGCGCAAAAATTAGAAACTGTTCTATTTAGAACATGCACAAATGTATTCGAGCTATTTAAAATTCAAGCAAGGTTTCGAAATGTTCTAGAACCGTTTAAGGTTTATTGCTAATGTCATTCAATGCTTTTTTCCTTTGGTAAGGAACTATAGGAAAAAATTATGATATTTTTTGTCCTCAATGGCTATAGAAACTTACCAAATGGCCGTTAGTCTTTCTTCTCCTCTTCTCCCTCCACCGTTGTTAGGAAAAAAACTAATTGGTCTATGATCTTTGACCCTCGTTTCTATAAGAGGAACAGCTGCAAAGCCTCGACTTAAATCTTACATTCACAAGGTTTTTCTTTGAAAAACACAGCGTGAGTTTTACAAAATAAATACAAAAACAAAAACAACAGAAAAAGAATTGAATTACCATATTTGTTGCAAGTTTTGTTGCTTGATTAAAATCACTTGATGCACCGGTAGTTATTTTATCCGTACCAAATATTTGTTCTTCAGCAGCACGTCCACCCATCATAACATCCATTTCAGCTAATAATTGTGATTTTGTTCGATTGTATGTTTCTTTCAGTGGAATATGTGCTGTAAAACCAAGTGCTTCTCCACGTGGAACTATTGTTACTTTATGTAATGGATCAGCTTCATTAGTAAAATACCGAACTATAGTATGACCTGCTTCATGATAAGCTGTTATATTATTTGTTTCATGATCAGGTATTTTAGATTTTTTTGCTGGACCCATTAAAATTTTATCACGAGCATATTCAAGATGTTTCATATTTACTGCTAGTGCATCGATTTGAGCAGCATAAAGTGCGGCCTATACAAGAAAAAAGAGTATACCTATATTTAATTCTTTATTATAGAAACATACTTGATTAACCATATTTTCAATATCAGCTCCAGTAAATCCAGTTGTACCTTTTGCTAAATATTCCGTATCAACACTTCGATCATATGTAACTTTAGAAAGATAAAGTTCAAATATTTCTTTTCGACCACGAAGATCAGGTGGTAATATATGTATTTCTGAATCAAAACGACCTGGTCGTAAAAGTGCTGAATCGAGATAATCACGACGATTTGTTGCAGCTAATACAATAATTCCTTCATTTTTTTCAAATCTAAATATTATATTTAATAAAGATAATGTTTATTTTCTTTTTCTTTCAAATAAATTTATATTACCCATCCATTTCTGCAAGAAGTTGATTTATTGTTTGATTGGCATATGGATGTAATTGTGAACTTGATCGTTTAGCACCAACGGAATCAATTTCATCAATAAATATAACACATGGTGCACGAGCTTTAGCAGCAGCTATAATTAATTAATTTATTTATTATTATCAATTTTCAATTAAGATTTTCATATAAAATGAATTAAATAAACTTACTGAATAATTGACGTACACGACGAGCACCTGTACCAACAAACATTTCATCGAATTCTGAACCAGATGTATGAAAAAAAGGAGTGCCAGCTTCACCAGCAACAGCTCGAGCTAAGAGTGTTTTACCTAAAGATAATTTCTATTTTTATTTCTTTTTCAAACAAAGTAAAAAAAAAAAAGACGACACTTACCAATACCAGGTGAACCAACAAGAAGTACACCTTTAGGAAGTCGAGCACCTAATTTTGTATATTTTTCTGGTTCTTTAAGATATGCTACTATATCATTTAATTCATCTTTTGCTTCATCAGCCTAACAAATCAATCAGAAAATGTTTTCATTGTATAAAATAAATACAATAAATTTCTTTTACCCCTCGAACATCAGAAAAATTAACTTTAATTTCTTCTGGACTAATTTCATATTTACTAATGGTTGAAAATGCATTTGTAAATCCGCCACGAACACCATCTTAAAATAAAGTTGAATTAAAACTTATTTAAATAAAATGATATATATATATACATACCACCGCCGATGGCAGAAATAATATTTAACAGAAGCATAATTAAAATACCATAAAATAATATGACACGTACGGCTTTAAATAATGATGGACGATCTTTTGATTTTGATTCACTGCCAGCTGCAGCTGCTGCAACATAACCTATAGAATATTTCGAAATTAGAAATTAAAGACAAACATTTTTTTTTGATAAATAATTAAATTCTAACCTTCTGCAAAAGCAATTTTTACTTTTTGTTGTTCATCAATATTTGGTGTTGTGTGTAACATATCTTGAAGACGTTTTCCATCTATATTTTGAGACGGAGAATTTCCACGACCATAATATTGCATAAACTTAAGAAAATAATTAAATTAACAAAATAAAAACAATGTATTTAAATGATAAGATTTACTCGATTGACAAAAGCTGTTAATGGTGGTTGATTTGAATTATTTGAATATTGTGAATGTCTTCCACTACTACCCACTGATAACCGATATCCATCAAAATCATTTGGGTTTCTAGATGAATCTGACATTGTACTACTACTGCCAGCTCTGCCAATACCTGTTGCATCTGCATGTCGTGTTTTAAATCCACGAACTTGATTGTAGACTAAACACAAATAAAAAAAAACACAAAAGTTTATTGTTTAATAATATATGAAAATATTTACTTAAACTCTCAACTTTTAACAAATCTTTATGATTGATATATTGAGTAACACCAACTTGACATGAAAGACAAGAGGTTGATGATAATGGTGCGACAGATAACTTTTGAAGTTCTTTAAATAAAGAAAACAAAAATAGTAATTTATTTCAAAATAAATAAATACAAGGTAGCCCATGAATAACTAGACGATAAAAATATTCAATATTTCCTGGCTAGTTTATTTCTTCTCCGTGATAGAGTACTCTTCAAAAAAGTTGTTATGTACAAGAAAAGCATCAATGGACACTGTTTTGAACTAGTACTATTGAACTCAATAAAGAAATATACTATTGTCAGAAAGTATTTCTCTATGATTTTGAGTCATTCTTAGAATTCTCTACTTTTTCTCGCTGTTCATGGGTCTTGAAAACGGTACGACCCATCTAGCTGAAATTTTTACCACAGATAGAGCACCAAACATAGGAGGACACGTGTCACAGGAAATAGATCTTGAAGTGGAATTTTTGCTGAGAAATCTTGATTTTCAGACGACAGCATCCTCATAACATACGACTTTCATCTAACTTTGTTCAAGCGAGTTCAAATTTTTACTACTGATACTTGAAAGTATTCATCAGAGTTACAATTGATCGTTTTCATTTTTGACTTTCCTAGTCGAATTTATGGGAGCCTGAAAGTAAAGATCCTAGTTTTATCATTGAATCTTTACGTATTTCTCTCATAAGATTTTTGGAAAAGCTTAAAATTATCTGTGAGACATAGTTTTAGGCAACTCAAAACAAAAAAATTCAACCCAACCGGATAACGTTTGATGGAGTATTGTAGTGTACGAAGATACGACCGTATGAAAAACAGGATTTCTCATTAATAATCACAAGAATCTACTTCAAAGTTTTTTCCTCGAATATACGCCTCCTTATTTTTGCGCTTCATCTGTGATAAAAATCGTAGCTTGATTAGTTAAACCGTCTTCGATAATTAGAAATTGTGAAAAAAAGAGGGAAGTACTCGCAAGACTACACAGCTGTTACTTTTAGCCTGTATATTGTCTTAGAAATGTTGGTCAATGAGACCAGTCGAATCTTAATCGCTTGAATTGAAGAGAAATCACGACATATGATAGGTCTTCTTACTATGAATTCTGTAAGTCAAGAAAGAAACTAGCTTACAATATGACCAACCTATCATTATGTATAATATCTACAACTTTTAAATTATTAGATGAAACTCAATAAATTTTATAGCGCAAAATAGTCCCATTAAAGTACTACTTAATAATAGGTTCGCCGAGTAATAAGTTTCTTTCGTTTTTAAGTTATATGCCTCATAACGACAAATATTGTCATAGATCATAAACTCTCGTCAACTCAATCAAGAATCGCTAAGATAATTTAGAACAATAGTACTAAATCTGCACAGTATCTATTTGACAGTTTCCTTATGAATATATCTTTTATGGTCTAGTTATTTATGTGTCAATCTATAGATTGTACCTTCTTTTGATATTCCATTTAATAATGATTCAATATTAATATCAAAAGCTTGTTGTGTTGCTGCAATGACTTTTCGATCAATATTATACTAATAAAAAAGCAAAAATTACAATTAATATTCAATAAATAATTCATATCTAACCCTTGAATATCGTATTCGTTTTGTTTTTGTTTTTCTTGAAAACTGTTTTAATGCTTCATTTGTTATTGATTGTAAACTCTGTGGTAAATAACGTACTGATTGTACAAAAAATGAAGCACATTGGGAGCAAAGCTATAAAAATATCAATAACTATTCAGATAAATATTCAGTTCAATGTTTGACTTCTCACATTTGTTGGTGTTAACAATGAATTCATCTGCAATACATAGACGTCTATATTATAAAACATATTGAATTTGTTTATATTTATTGGTTGTTTTTTTTTGTTTAACACATAAACACCATAGGAAAAAAATACATATAAATAAAGAAGACACGCACTCTCACACACGTAGAGAAATTAGAAGAGTGTATTGTTTTTTTTCTATACACAGACTAGTTCACATAAGTTCAAGGAGATGATCAGCGTCGAATAATGCTTCATCAATAAAAGCAAACGTATCAACAACATCGGTAGATCCATCAGGTTCAAGTAATTTATCTTCTTCGTCTTCTTCTTCTTTTAGAATTGTCGGGGATTGAACAGGAGGATTATTATTATTTGGTGGAATTTGTTCAGTAGGTTTTAATGGAATTTGCTCAGTAGGTTTTGATGGAATTTGCTCAGTAGGTTTTGATGGAACTGGAGAAAAATTATTTACTACTGGAGGTGCAGACTGTTTATAAGCAACTGATGATGGTTGTCGAGGTCGTTGAGAAGGCGGTGGCTGACGTGGAATCATTGGTTTTTGTTGTTGTTGTTGTGGTAGTAGTGGTGGTGGTATATAACGTGGGCGTAAAGAAAGAAGAGACACCGGTTGACATGGCATTGTAATTGATGGTAAGAAATTTTTTGGTTGAGTTGTTTTAGCAAGGAATTCATCGACTTCTTTTTTCCAAGTCGAATCATCCATTGATGATGTTAATGGATATGTCGAACGAGGTGAGGATTTTCTTTGTGAGGATGATGAAGATGATGATGATGAACGATGACGATGATGGTAACGATCATATGTTCGACGAGAATTTGACGATGGCGAACATAGATCACCAATAGTTGTTGTTGTTGCTGCATTATGATAATGATTATTTTCTTGTTGAGAAGAAAGACGTTTTGATGGCGGTGAATCATTTACTGATGATTCTGGCCCTGGACGTTTACGTTCATTAGTAGATGGAGTAACAATATTACGATTTGGTACTGCTACGGTTGTTGTTGTTGTTGTTGGCGATGATGATGATGTATTAGCCACAGATCGAGGCGATGAAATTGATTTCTTCTTGAATCGTCTAAAATTGAATATAAGTTAGTTTAATCATTCGAATCCTTCTTTTTCTTCCTATTATTATTTACTCAATACGACTTGTTCGACGTTCATCATCTTGTGATAATTCTGTTCCTAGAATGATCCGAAGTACGATTACATAAAAAATCTCGCAAAAGAAAAAAAAACCATAACTATGGCACTACGACGATATACAATAACAAATTATTGTTATTAACCTATTCCATCTCATGTCAAAAAATAAACATTAACAAAAATATAACATTGTGTGTGTGTATATGTTGTTTTTTTCTTTGTTAATCCCTATCTGTTCTCACTTAACTCATTGAAAAAAAAACAAGAGAAAAAGAAATATAATGAGGGAAGATGAATAGAGTTTGTATAGATGTTGTTGTAAATAATTGATTGTTAAGAAATGGAAAGTAAGATGAATAAATGTTATGCCAATAAACGTACCCGCAGATGTCTAAAATAAAAATAAAAATCTATTAGTACAATTTCAGTGGGATTCAAATATGAAATACAACGTAGGTACTCTAGTAAATCATAAGTAGCTTGTTCTAATCTATCTATATTGGAACAATTTCTTCACTATCATGTTACTTAATACTCTAGGCATGCAAAAAAAGAAGTAGGCCATTCATTACAACAAGACGTTATTGATATACGGTCTGTAACAAATGGAGCCTTTCAGGTTCATAGTTTTTGGACCTGATCGAATCATACTTTGATATTCTCAATGAAATTTTCTAACGGTAATTGGATAGTCGCCTCAAAGATATGTGATAATTTTTTTTCCAATTCTTTATATTCAGTGACTATTGCATTCTATACATTTCTCAAACGGCTAGAGCTCATCGAATCTAGAACCAACCTATTGGGCTCTAGCGACAGAGATGATGAACGTTGCTAATGCATCGATCACAATCAGTGAGAAGTCTAAATTTTTACCCGGATACTTCCAACACTCCTTTTAGATCGTGTTTGACAAAAATGAAATTTATTTTTTTTGCTTGTTTTTATTTACTTTTTCTCCATTTGATGATGTAGAAATAGAATTTGGTGAGTTTGTTATTGTTATTTTTGTTGCGGGCAAACGATCACGCTTTAATCGAATTGGTTTCGTATCATTTGTTGGAGTTGTTTGTTTAGCTGACATAAATAAACGATTAGTAATCGATGGAGCTGAACAAGGAAATGGAATATCAATCACAGAATTTGCTAAAAGAAATTTTTTTATTTATTTATATTACTTTCGTTTTTTTTTTTTAATATTTACTTTTTTTATTATCATTTTCTGGTTGTTTAACTAAATCATCTAGATCAATATCACTATCACTATCATTATCATTTGTTATTCTCTTTGATGAATTGATTGTATCAGATGAAACAACAAGTCGATTTGTTGTTCCTTGTACTATTTTTCGATTTGAAGTATTTGCTGATTCAGCAATAACAACATTTCGGTTTCCAACAACTCGTGATTGTGTTGTTGTTGTTGTTGTTGTTATTGTAGTTTTCGTATCTTCTTGATTTTTTTCTGTAGAATCTGTAATAACATTACGATTTGTAGTTTCTGTTTGTTCATTTTCTATTGGGACAGCTACACGACGTGGTATAGTTTCATTTGGAATTGTTGATGATGGTATTTCAGTAGACGTTAATAGAATTTCGACTTTTGGTATTGAAGATTGAGAGGAATCGATTTGTGGACTAGATATTGAATCATTTGTTGTTTGAAGTATACTACTAGGAGTAGAAGAAGGATTTGTTATAGCTGTTGATTTAATTGCATCTTTATTGACAAGATTTGTCGCTGAAGCTAGATAGTCAATAGAATAGATTTAATATTACATAATAAAATGTTATCTTACATCGAAGAGTTGATGGATTTCTTACAGTTGGACGAGGACGTGAATGAACAAATGTACAATCGAGTTTAAGACAACCCATGGGTGTATTTTCATAAAAACATGATATTCCATTATTGATGATAGTTGGACGCTAAAACAATACAATGTATATAATCAATTTTAAGATAAGTATTTTTCTTTTTGTTGAAATATCTACTTGAACAGTACTATGACGTAATGAACAAGCCGAATCTGTACAATTTCCACGTAGCCAAGATGGACATATGACATTACATGTTAAAACTACTGAATTATGCCGATAAGTACATCCAGAACCCTAAAAATAAACGTTTATGTTTTTGGTTAATAAATCATTACTGGAAAAAAATAGCTTAGTTGTTTACTTTTGCACAGGATGATGTGAGGAAATAGAAGCAATCTTCATTCGATTTTTGCATAATTTGACTTTGTTTAAATCTAAAATATATATTTCATCAATAATCGATTTGATTATGAGAATTTATTCTATATGTTTACTAATACATATTCATTCATTCCTATATTTCCTATTCCAATGATAAATAATATTCAAATGTGGCTCCATCTTTTTCTTTGAAAGTTTAATTTTTTTATGAAAAAAAAATTTTTTCAGATTAATTTCTTGAATAAAATGAATAAAACTGAAATTTAATTTCAATGTTAATATAATTCATACATATGTTCGGTTTTCTTATTTGCTTGTTTACATATAATCAATAGGCTACACTATTTTTTTTTATCCTTCTTCTTATAGATGATTTGTACAGGTAAAAATATTATTCTTTTTTTCTTCTATTGTACCTTTACAGTTCACCATTAATTTCTTAAATTATTCTTTTCTTTTCCTTTTGTTTTTTGAGATTATTGGTCGTTATTTTTTTATATGAATTTTGTTATTCTCAATATCATATATATATAAATACATATATAGATCTTACTGTGATTTTGAGTGATTCTATTTTTTCTGTTTTGTATCTTAATTGTTTTTACTTCGACGAACAATAAAAAAAAAAAATGGATTATACATACGGACAATCGAATGATTATCCACTTCGGTATGATAAATTGTATAGAAATATAGTTTCTATTGATTATTTTCTGGTTTAATAGAATCCTTGTACCAAGCGATTCTGTTGGAGCTATTATTGGTAAACAAGGTTCAACAGTTAAACAAATAAAACAAGCAGCACATGCAAAGTAAATTATTAGTTTTGAATATAAAATATATTTCTTATTAGAAAATAAATTCTAGAATTGATGTTAATAAAAATGAATCATCAAATAGTCAAGAACGTATGATTATTATTCGTGGTCAACAAGAAAATTGTATACAAGCATGTCGTGAAATACTACGAATTATGTACGAAGATGCAAAAAATAAAAATAAACCAAAGTAAATATGAATATTGTTTTTTTTTCCTTTTTTTTCTATTATATTATATTTTATTCAAGTGAAATTATATTAAAAGTACTTGCACATAATAATTTTATTGGTCGAATTATTGGTAAAGGTGGTAATATAATAAATACAATAAAAAAAGAAACTGATACAAAGTTTGTTAGAATTATTTGAAAATTTTTTTTTTTTTAGTTTTTAAATTCATTTTTTATTTTTAGTATTACTGTTTCAAGTATCAATGAATTAAACTCATATAATATTGAACGTATTATATCAATTAAAGGTGAATTTGACCAACAAATACGTGCACTTGAAACAATCTATAGTAAATTATGTTTGGCATATGAGAATGAAAACACTCGAGCGTGGAATTACTCATCACAATATTATCAACAACAACAATTTATGCAAAATTTTGCACAACATGCAGCTATGATAGCTACTGTTGGTGCTAATGGTCCACCATTATTACCTATGCATTATTCTCAACAACAACAACAATCGATGATTCATCAAACACAGACAAATAATAGTAATAATTCTTCAAATAAATATGTCGAACAACAACCAAATCTAAATACAATTTATCATTCATCGTATTACGTAAGTTTGATAAATATGTGACATAAATTATTTTAAAATACGGGTTTCGACTAGTTCATTATTTAATCTGAGTTTAGCCTAGTTTTTTTTTTCTAGGTCAATCTTGCATTCTAGAATAACTTAGTTCAAACTTGTAGTTTACTTGAAATCGTTAGGCCAATCTGAGTGTCGCCTAGTCTACATGAATGAGGAGAACGTTCTTAAGTGAGAACTATGTGCGTCATGAAGACTCTAATGAGCAATGAATACTTTGAAACGAGTGCGGATTAATAACTTATTGCTGTTGAGTTACTGTATTTTTTTAGCAGAATGCTATGGTTCTTCTCATGAATACTAGGAAAACTGAATTTCGGCTTGAAACTTTGCACAAAAACACGCCTTACTGTCTTAGGATAGAAATAATCAAAAGGTCAGAAACTTTTACAGTAAGACGTCTCTCTCAGCAAAGTTTGAAGTGGAAATTTGTAATATAGCTTTTCTGATGTGCTTGAAGGAAGAGACATATCATTCTGCTACAAAAAAGACAGTGTCTCAGTAGTAATAAGCTGTTAGCTCGAACTCTTTATAGAGCATTCATAGCTCATTAGAACCTATATGATTTACATAGTCCTAACTCAAAAGCCAGTCAGACAAAAATTTTGAAAAACGCGTTTAAACGCACAATCGAGAACCGCGACTGTGATCCATTAACGCTCATTAAAGAGACGCACGAAAACGCGTTTTTTGTAACTTTGTGCGCGTTAAAACGGCGAAAACTTCGATAATTGAGCGTTAAAACGTACAATTATTGTAGAACTTAAAAACCATACGTTTTAACGCTCAAAAATTGGAGTTTTCACCGTTTTAACGCCCAGAAAGTTGCAAAAAACGCCAATAAACGCGTTTTCGTGCGTTTTTTTAATGAGCGTTAATGGATCACAGTCGCGGTTCCGATTGCGCGTTTAAACGCGTTTTTCAAAATTTTTGTCTGACTGGGAAGTGANACCATTTTAACAAAAGTTCTTGTTGTGTAAAATACGAAACTAGTGATAGAAGCATGATCTATCCCAAAACAATCCATTAGGAAAATATATCTGGAATAGGGACGAATCCTAGTGACGTCACTGGTGTTTAGAAAAAGTTTATGTCAGAACTAATATCATGTGCATTGTTTCAATGGGAACCATCCTCGTACGATGATTTAAATCAATTCATAGATTTAAGAATTATCTCCATCCCAGTCTATTGAATCTCTATACAAACTATCATTTCAATTTGATTCCGAAAGACAATTACTGCGAGCAGTGTTTCAAAAGATCGTTCACATCAATTAAGAACTGCATTATTTCCAGTGTAGAACATTTCTAATCACTTAATTAAAAGAATGAGTTGAATGCTTTCCTTTGCAAAGATTCTATATGAGAAGCCACTATGAACTTGAATTTCTTCAACTTTTACATACGTCTGGGATGCGCTACCAAATTTGGAAGACATTTACCTCTCTAATTACCTTGTTGGTACTAGAAGGTCAGTAAGCCTGAAACAAAAAAGTAAATTTTATGTTTAATTAATTTTCTGTTAATAGCAAAAGCAGTAGCTGGGTAGTTACTTAGAAAAAAATACCTGCATCAGCCAGGTGGTTACTTTTGTAAAGTTAGCTACTTTAGTTACTTAGTTACTTTTGTAAAGTAACTACTTTGGTTACTTAGTTACTAGTAAAGTAAAGGTAAAGTGCCATCCCTATCTGAAACATGAGCTTTCGATTTTAACGATTGTGGAATAACATGAAACAGCCCTAATTCTTCTCTATGACGATAATTATTGATTGCATTCATCAAATGATGAAAAAATAAACCTCATTTTCTATCACATTTGGTTTCAGCTTTATCTCGCAACTAATTTTTCTCATACCTATTATTACTAGAATATTACAAATTTCGAGATTTTGACGTACGAAAGTCTTCATAACCCTTATTGTTTAATGGGTATAAATTCTGTTTCCGGGAAGATTTCATTTGATATAAGAATTATTGTGTTTGGTATCTGACATTATAATGATATTCTCCTGGAAAAATATTATTTCCTACATAGCAGAATATTTAAATACTAAATTTCTGTTTAAATAAATTGTTTCTGTTTTACAAATATTTGACAATCTTTTTCATTAGACAATCAGTTCTGATGATCATCACAAGAAATTTGTAAACACTTCAATTACAAAATAATTCAGCAATGATTAGTTCTGATTAATCATAGTAAAATGTCATTAAACTTTTTTCGAGCAAACTATTCAAAACTTTAACTATCTGAAACTACCAGGGTACATTATATTATGTGGTATTTTCAAATTTCTTAATTCTTGAATAACTCACGAACGCAAAATGGCATTGAGATGCGGCTTTCGCTATGGCATAGACGACACTACATTTCATACATCCATGCAAAAATCGTAACACTGGTAAGGTCAATCAGGCAGTACACATGATAAGTCTGTGAAAGACTACGAATGTATTATTTTTAGGAAACAATTATATATGGATGACATTGGTTCTCAAAATTTCGAAATAGTTTTGATAGGCATATCGATGGTGGATGATAAATGTCTTAAATATGAAGTTATAACAATTTTTTTTTCATTGGCGGAGTCACGACACGTAAAGAGTTAAAATTAATTTATTTTTGCTCAATTTATTTCATAAAAAATCAATCAGAGTTTATATGCATTATAAAATATGTTTGATATAATCAATATCAGTGGATACACATGAAACAATAACATTAATATGACCATGTTAAAAGATGCTTGTCATCAATAGATGATAGCATTTCACACTATACAGATAAATTTTTCTTGCTACTGTGTGTGCAATGAAAATGATAATAAATAGAATTTTACTTGTATTTTTCGAAAAAATTTACTGCTTAAGTTGAATCCATAAGTATGAGTGTTATTCCAACGAAATACAGATAAATTATACAATGAACCTACAAAGACTTCATCAGGTTTATGTTGGACTATGATTGAATTGATTTTCACAATAATTTGGAATCTTCTTGAGAATACACAGTTTTATGTTCACATGCAATAGTCCTGCACCAGTTTGGGTTAGTAAATCTGATGAGTTCTCTTCTGTGAAGAATAATTTTAGCGACATAACTGAAAAAAAAACATTGTATGAAGGGCTCAGGTTTCGACCATGTCTGCACTGGGATGGAGACTCTCTGGTAATGCTTCTAGAAGGACCTTAAAAGCCTTTTCGGGTCGAGGTGTTCAGGCACGATGAACATCTCTGTTCTACGTGAGGGGAGAGGGAGTTGAGCCTTCTCTAGTTCCTGTCTTATTACGACACCAGATAATTTCAACGGCTCCTCTGTAGTACTGATTGACTATGGTGATCAGCGCACACATCGAACTAACCACGAGTGATGACTACTGTAATAAAGACAAAAAATACTCATATATTTGATTTATGTTGATTTTCTCTTCCTCTGTAACAATTGATGATGTACTAACAAATATCTCAGTGTTTGACACTATCTATGAAAAATAATTAAAAAGATATCAATGTGCAAGTCACAATGCAAGATTATTGCATCTGTCTATAAACCATAGTAACAAGGAAAAGTTAGGGAGAAAATGAGCAAGTAATCAATAAATAGGATACATATAAAATTTTAATAATAAAATCTGTAAATGAAGGATATGACAATACGTATTTTTGTTAATATAATCCGGAGTAAAAGACAATTACAGCAATCATTCGAAATAAATCACAATTACAAACACATACGAAAAGAAAGAAATGACACAGAACTGCAAAGAAGACTAAACATTTATTTGTAAACACAAATTAACAAATATTTAAGTATGTATGGCAGGTGTTGGTTGAGTGGGTGACGATGATTTATTATTTGTACCATTATAACAATGAACTTCATTTATAGTTGGTGCTTGACGAACTTTTACTGAAATTAATTTAGTTGGTTTTGGTGGTGGCGGTGGGGCTGCACCTTTTTTACTTGGTTTTGAAAGTACTGGTGAAACCGATGGATCTTGACCATTTTGAGACACTGTTATTGATGGTTCAATTGTGACTAAAAAAACATTGATGAGAAATACTTATGATTTCTATTGAGGAAACCTTTGCTAGTTACGATGATTTTTACTGACTTTTTAATGTATTCAGAGGTATGCAGAGAAAAAAATGAATCAAAGAATTGTAGGCGACAAAAGACGACTTTTTCTCAGGATGTCATCTGCTTAGAAAAAAACCAATGTTTTGAAATTTTTTGTAACAAAAGAATGAATTTTCAAATCTAAATATTTCAAGGAAGAAGCAAATCATTTTGACATAAACTTTCAAGACATGACAAGGAAGATGAGATCTACAAGATATCTCAAAAGTCAGACGAACCTCATAACAAATGTAGAAAAAATAACAGTTTCCGCTACAGTTCAAGCATAAGACTTTTACGATTCTACCAACAAGATATACTCTTTTTTTATTCTTTAATATCTACTCGAACTTCTATAATTATTATGGAATTACTGTAGCTTTACAAACACTTGTTTTTATATATTCTTTAAAAACATAATGCAAAATAATCAAGTATAATGTGAAAGTCAATGATAGAATGGTGTGATACATTCATTTTCAAGAGTATTCAAATTTCCAAAGAGCTATAAACTGATTTTTCTATGAAGGAATCCATGCATATATCAATTATTTTAAAATAATAATGTCAAACAAATGATTCAAACGTAGCTAGCAAAGATCTGCATGATCTGAAGTTTTTAATAGCGATACCAAAATTCGAGTAGGCATTAAAAAAGAAAACATTCTGTATTGTTAGTGACATCGTAAAACATTCTATTTTTGAATTGTAGCCGTGTGTTACCTTTTCCGCACTGTCCTTGATCTCAGCGTTTATGAATAAAAACTTAGGAATTTTCGCTTTAAAATAGAAATAGAAAGTTTTTGATTTAGCTTGATCAGTAACGATGTTTTATGTATTTATTGAGTGATCATGACTTTGAAAAG